GCACTCTGGCCTGTATCGCATCTTGCGAACGTATACGTAGGCTACTCATTCATCCCCCTTCTCACCTGGGTCATTAGCCTGTCGGCGCCCGTGTCCTCCTCATCTTTAAAGATTATGTCTGTATTGTAGTTTGGCGTCAGCTCTTTAAAGCGCTCGGAGTTGCGTGTTATCTTTCCCTCGGGACGCCCGCTGGCTCCTAGGGTCTTCTCGGCGACGTTTGGGCTGAACTGCTTGTAGGCAAGCGGGATGAGCTTTTTCGGGAGCCGCCTTTTGCCGTACCCCCTCCCCGGCCCGCAGCCCTCCGAGGCAGGTGCGAGGAGGAGGAGGACCAAGGCACACAGAGAGGCGGTGAGAAGGAGGAAGGAGATCCGCATCGCCCCGGGGGGAGGGAGGACTCTCCCGGGGGAGAGAGATGTCTTCAGTACCTCCGCGGTTTGGCTACCGACTCCATCGTCCGTGACAGTTGCAAATCCACGTCCGAAAAACTCGGATAAAAGAAGCTCAGCACCTCGGCTGCACGGGGCACCATTTGGATACCAAAAAGTTTCTAGCTTTTCCAGAACATCGACCCTGTATTGAGAAACTTCGCTCGCACCGCCTTACAGAATCAACAGTAAGTGTGCAGGCTGTAAAGTCCGTGCATTTTAAACAAACAGGTTCAAAGTCGATTTGGTGGGTGAGAGAGTTAAAGAGAGAGAGCGGTTACTGATATCCAAGTTGCAGTGTTGTGGTTTCTCTCCCCCTCTTTCTTTTCCTCTGGGAAACTGTCATAACAGCAGCCACTTTTGCCTGCTCTTTGGTTGGTGCCCTCTCTGGATTGAAGGCTTTTCCTCTCCATATGCTGCCGGCGTGCAACAAGCTGCAGCTTTCCAGTTGAATTGAAGGGATTTGAGTGATCCAAAACGATCTGTTGCCACTTCAGACCGCACCCTGCCAGTCCTGCCCTCCTCTCTCTCCTTTGCTCCCTCTGTTCCTATACTCTGCCACCCACCCCGCCCCTCTTGGGCACAGGGCGCACTGGAGAGTCCTGTCCACACTCTGCTGGCAGACAGGCAAGCAGCAAACACAAGTTTGCCCTTTATTGCTGCCACTTCACATTTCCAGTTGTTGTCTGTGTCTTTCTGTGCCCTTGACAGCTCTGTACTCTGACAGCCCTGCTTTTTGTTTTACATTGTAAACAACAATCACAATCAATTAAAGCAATCAATTTCCTGGAGTAGACTGCCACAATTTTTCCCGGCTGCATAAAGATCAAGGGTCATTAGTTGGCTTGATGTTGGATGACTGACTGCGTAATAGGGTAATTACCAGGGGTGAGACATACTAATTGCCTGGATGTTTAGCAGGTAGATTGCTTGGCAGAAAAACTGATTTGCTGACTGACTGACAGATTGTTGAACGGCTAGTTGACTGACTGAGTTACAGCAGGGACAATTAGTCTTAAATGAGTGCTCTAATAAATAACCAATAGTACTAACTTTATGTCAGTTTTCTAAAATGGACATCTTTAATTTAAAAGCTTTTGGCTACTTGGTTCTCTTGCTGCCTATAGGTGAAGCACACATCCACATGCACACACAAACACACACACAAGCAAACCCAACCCCTCCAAATTAGCTCTTCAAATATTTGCCAGCAGAAAATCAGTGGTCTCACCACTGTTTCTCAAATGCTGGCTCCTTGGAATGAATTAAACTGTACAAGGCTGAGGCTTTCCACAGTTTACGTTTTATTATTTGTGTCTGTAAACACCGTAAAGTATTTTTTGCTCCAACACTGCTTTTCATGTCTCTTGATGGGACACTGAAAGGCAAATAGAGAGATTCACACAGAGTAAACAGCCATCTATTTTTGTTTTTGCCTTTAAGCTGAAACAGAGCACATACTGACACTTGTGTAAATTCATTAAACTTTTCCTGGTATGGAGCATGCAGACTAGTTCAAATAAATCAAAATTTGTCAGATAGAGGTGTCAGTGTTTTGCCAAATTTGGTTCTAGCTTCGCAAAGTGGAATAGCTCCCATAATGCAGTTTAATCTTATCGGGAACTTTTGCTACTCCAGGAATAAAAAGCTTTTTTGGGGCATGATCAGTGACTTTTCAAAGATATCACTGTTAAGAGTTTCTTTTAATGACTGTTCCTTAAATCGTAGCAGTGTTAACAAATAAAAGAAAGGTTTCACTATTTGGGCAGTAAACTTATTTACTTCCTCACAGCTAAGAAGATCATGAATGTATGGATGGTGTCTGTGAAATTATGATTGAATTAATATAAATGTGCAGTTCTTATATCTGTAGTTCATCCTCTGGATTGCTTACCCTATTAACAAAACATGAAGATGGCTTTCTAAGTGTTTGACATTTCCCCACTCTTCACGTAAAACAGCGTATTTCTTTCACCAGTTTAGCAACCTCATGAAGTCTTCACCAGTCAACTGCTGCCACATGCTGCTACCAGTCAACTTCACAGCCAAAAATCTGTGTCTACATGTGCATACCGCATGATCCAGTGTCATAATTATCAGAGATAATTCAGATAATTCAGGGATAGCCAAGCTAACTGTGCCTCACTGCTTTAAATATCACATTATTGGGAGTTTTTAGTTCCTTTGCTCTCCTAAGCAGCAAAAGACTGAACCCCGAAAATGCTATCATTCACCAAGTTAGCATCTTGCACATTTTTGTTCTTGCACCAGTTGCAGATGCTGATGCAGGTACTGAGATTTTTCAATCACATGTCAGCTAACCATGCGAGGTTAACCTCTCTGCCATTTTGGATGTGTGGCGATGTAACATCCCAATCACACAGGCCTAGAATCTGAGCTGGCAACCACCATTAACCAGTAAAAATGTGTAGTCTATTCCCTGACTGGTTCTTGAGTGGTTGCTGAAGGTTGATGGAGGTCTCTGTGAAATTGGTTGCTAAAGCTGCAATCACATAGGTAGTCAGTGACCTCCCCTTCCTCCCAAACAACATTTACAAAGGAAAAACTTTCTTGATTTCTTGTGTATGTTGTAGGGTGTATTTCTTGACCTCCTTGGAATTTATTTGGTTTCACTGCTATCAGACTGTCACTGTGCTCTGTAGTTAGTGAATGTCTGTGCTTGCAAACACTCACCAACTCTCCAAGAAACTATAAAATATTTGCTTGAAAGTAAAAGTTGCACCTTTGAAATGTGTTTACTGCAGCGCTAAGGCACAACTTTTACACTGAAGGTGAACTTTCTCCATTTCCAGATTGGGGACTTTTTTATTCTTACCTATAATACACATTACACATTACAATACACATTTTCCCCAGTGGTTGTTTCATATATAATGTGGCGGACAACTTCACGTGTGAAACCTCTATAGGCATTGTAAAGACCTTTGCACCATTCTGACCATAAAGGTGCCATTTATAGCTAAACAGCAATGCACATTTCACTAAAACTGACCTGCTGTGACCACTTACATACACATTATCAGCGGTGGTACTTGTGCTGGCGCCATGTATGTAAGAATTGCTTTTCTTTGTTTATTATGTGTGAGAAGAAATCTATATGCAAATTTGCATGTGCCACACTTGCACAAGCATGTGTTTTCCTGTAACTATCAATAATTTGTGGATGTGCGTGAGCGTGTGTGTGTCATCCTTCCTTTGAAGATCATAAATACAGGCGTGGTTCCAGGCAGGCCCGCTGCCTATTCAGCGTGGCTGTCGACAATGCCTCAGAAGTGGTCACATTCTCCCATCCATCCATCCCTCCCTTCATCCATCCATCTCTCAGTTCTTCTTGGCCTCAAAAGACGACACTATGGCGTTTCAAGAAGACAACATTCTGATCAGATCAAACCAAAGTGGAGCCTGACACACCCCCACCCAAAATCTTGTCTCGCTGTTACTATTCATCAACCTGTCAGTTTCTCTGCTGTACACTATTCCTGTAAACTATTCCTGTCAGGCTCTTTCAGCAGAACTAAAATGGTTCACATAAAGTAAGGTATGAGCTCAAACACACAACCGTAAACGCAAAGACACACATATCTAGGCATGTGTACACAGTATACACACATATGCCAGGCCAGCCGACAAACCAACCAAGCATCAGGCCCTCATTCATTGATGTTTGTTAAAGTTATTAATTTTCTCTGCGAAATAAGAGACCATGGTGGCAGGACAGAAGGAGATGGGTGCCAGCCCCAGAATCTCCCTCTGCTTTCATCTGCTGACACTGAGGCTCAATGAGTCCACAGCCTTTGCATGGGCATCGGGGTTACCCACGCATACCCGGGGCCCTAACCAACAAAGGCTCTGAATCGGGCAAAAGGAGGAAGACACAGATGAAAGAAAATTCCAAAAGGAAGTGAAAAGAAAGGGATGGAAAAGATGTTAGAAATGATTATACAGAAAAACTGAATCATAATGAAAGACAGTGAGAAAATTTAACAAAGCGACTGTGACTATGTCAGGAAATTTGGATAGACAAATGAGAGAGCAAGATGTAAATTAAGAAGTTGATTTAAAAAAACAGAGTTTTTGAATGAGTGTTTGAATGAGTAAGAGACAGCAAATGGCTTGGCACATTAGCTAGTAAACAAGTGAGTTTGGGTTGTTTTTCAGTCAGTTGAAGCTAGCGTGTTTGTGGCTTGTGGTGGATTGCTGTAATGGGGGTTAAAGGACGTTATGCTCAAGGTAACAACAGCTGGTGGCTAAAACCACCATCCCTCTTCCTCCTCCTCCTCCTCCTCCTTCTTCTGTCCCTCCACACACTCCAGCATCAAACCCCAGACCGCAATAAACACCTAAAACTATGCCTATATGTAGTCGGCTTCTAAGCAGCATAGTGGGAATATATGAAATCTTCTAAGCCTTAATCTTCCAAAACAAGGAGATAAAACAAAGTGGGCATGCTGAGCTTATCTGTAGCCTTTATATATTTTACCATACATTTTTTTTGGCAGTGAGTGCCACTTAGCCAGTGCCAGCAGTTAAGATGGTAAGCTGGAGCTAACATGTCAGCCAGTGAAAACCACACTGACCAAACCTGTCTGTCAATGGTTGAGAATGGCACCAATACTAGTCTTGCTAAAGTCCAGTTCAGTGCAGAGTGTTTGGTTTAAGAGCAGACAGAAGGAAAATAAAAGCAGGATGATATAAAAGTGGAGCCCAGGCTAAATGTGTCTTGGAGTTAGCGGGCTAGGCTAGCCACCGCATGGCTAAAGCAAACAAAGAGCTACCCAGGGGACTGAAGTAGGCTGTGCTGTGCTCTGACATTAAACACATAGCCACTGAGAGATGGAAACACACATGCATGCACTCAAATACATGCATACAGAAGTACCCAACTGCAGGTATAGACACAGCCACAAGTTGTTAAATAGAGAGATCACATGCACGCACGCATGCATGTACATGAACACGTGCAACATTTAGATAAGCATTAATGCTTTTCTACAAGGTTGCACTTAGTAAAGTAAATATAGATATTGCATATTAAAATGCCAATAAAATCCACTCCATTGGGGGGGGTTGTATATGGTTATAGAACACGTGCTTTTTCATGTTACAGTGAAATGTTATATTAAAAATGGCCTGCTCCAAATTTGCCATTTCATTCATCGATCCATCCAGTTATCCAGCTGAGGGTTATGGGAGGTGGACTGCATTCCAACTGTCATAAGGTAATAGGTAAAGTATACCCTGGACAGGTTGGCAGTTTTGCTCCATTTGTGTTTTTTTAAATTTACTTATTTATTTATTGAAACTCTTTCCATCCATATTTTCAAACTCTTTGACATGTATGTGATGTCAGACAGAGGTGATATCATCTCAGGAACACTGCTCTGGCTAGCTAGCACAGAAGCCTCACCCCCTTGTCATACAAACCAT